GAAATAATTTATTTGATGCACCACCTCAATATTATTGACGGTTGTTTATAATTGGGTACTTTGTTAGCTGTTCTCCTTAGTGTGTTCGTATTTGCGTATTGTTCTAGGAAGCTTGAAACTCAGCGATGAACACCGCCTGGGTTGTAGCAAACGTTATATATTTATATACATTGAACAAAGGGGATTTCAGCCTTTTTCAGTTTGATATATACATAAGTTATAAACAGATTATATTTGAAACGATGCTAGTCTGCGTTATGGCCCACGATTAAACTTGCTCATCCGTGAATAGTTATATCTGCCTAATAGAGCTTGTTGAATATCGTTTGTTACCCCTTGTTTCAACATATTTCTTAATTTTTCAACGAACTTACTGTCCACAGCGGTATGAACCATGGGTCTATAATGTAATGATCCTTGTATCTCGTACCAATTTTCACTACCGTACTGATATGACATTATTTAGTAGATAGTGTAATGACCTCCCCTAGAAGAGATTTTTTTTACTTGTACAAAATCCCCATCAAACTTTAGCTTAGACATAGAGACTTTTAAGCCCGAAGAGTGGAGACTCTCGATCGAGGCGATCAGGAAAATTTTTTCTTATATATATATATATATATATAAGAAAAACTAATCCGAATTTCTAAATAGTGTTTATTCCTGTTTCGTGTCTTTTGAGCAGTCTTCCATTCTACTAATTATTGCAGATTGTCCAAATGTTTGCTGGACTTCAGTGACCTCAGCTTTATTTTCATAGCTCTCGAACGTAAGTACGATCTGTTGCTGATAACCAAACTATATCAATAAGTGTTAATGTTTCGTCAAGTGAGAGCGTATAAATATCATTCTTATTATATTTAATAGTAGTTTTCTGTAGGCTGTAAGAAACTGTTTTCATTTCGCTATTCTAGCGAAGTTCAGGCGATTACTGCTCTCTCACGAACCAATGGTTAAAAACAAAAACAGAGAGATAGTCTCAGAGAGAGATAGAAAATATTTGATTGATTAACACTAAATTATATTGACACATCTTTTTTTTTCATATTACATTGTGCATACGTGTATCTATTAATGAAATACAATACGCACCCTCCTTTATCGCGGGGAATTGTGTATGGAATATGAGGAGGCGCACGTTCGTCTCTGCAAGTATTATCAACCCTCATCAAGCTAAAACGCACTCTTTTTATGGCGAAACATAATAATTAGTGATATTAGTTAAAAATAAATAGCACTGCAGAGGGTTCATGGCATCTTCCCTATAAGAAAACCAGCCTTCAACATTTTTTCTTAAACATGGTTAACCCTAGCGGAGGTACAGTATCTCTAAATCAATTGCAGAAGGCTTTTCACGGTAATTGCATACCATACCTGCATCGTATTACCTGAGGAAGTTTCTTAAGTTGAATGGAGAAGTTCGGCCTCTGGCTATAAAGCTTGATCATTACAATTACAATAGTATTTCTTTGTAAATCCGTTCCGCGTTGACGAAAACCAAGATACCTTTTGTGTCTAAACGACCTGTCACAGCTCCCGTATTCTACGCTAGGCAACCGCCTGGAGCCCGAAATCAGAGGAGCATTAAATCGTTCTAACTGCGTGGAACTGCCTGTGCTATGTGGTAAGATTAACACTGATCTCGGGCTTTTGTCCGCCATCAACCGGGATCAGGCGCGTTTCCTCTCAAATGAACGTGGATCTGTTGGCCGACGTCGCAACACGACACACCCGAGTGATCTATCTGCCTTTTCCCACTGTGACAAGCGAGCTCAATGCTGAGGAGCATTGAGGTGCCGGTTCGATGTCTAGACTCGGGTGGAACATAGTCGAGACGGGCCTTACTCAGCAGGCCTGACCTAAAACCTGCTAGGTGTCAGTCTCAGGAAATGGTATGTTAACCACTAGAAGCTGTATCTGTAAACGGTTAGTACGGTCAGCGATCTTTATAACGATGCGGACAACGAGGAACAATCCTGCCTCAAGGAATTACCGTCATTTTTGAATAGTTGGAGATGGTGAAGTTTATTGGTCTTGTATACGTCTAGTCATTACTGGGTCGTGCTCGAAGGGTGTGATTTAAGGCTGCACGTTGTTGACAGTCTTATATGCGAGTCAACCACTCTTTAAACAGTTCTTGCGTGTATACGTGAAAAACTATTTAACGCAGCAGATACTTGCGATTACTAAAGTAGAGTTAAAACTACCATTTGGGTTGTTGTTTTAGTCTCTCGAAAATGACCCAATTGCAATATTTGCAAAACGTTTAAGCTGTGAAGTACTATAAGCAATATCATAAACCGGCTTCACTATGAATAACAGCCAATTAGCGTAGACATCGCTCATTAATTACACCTCAAATTGATTAGTTCGTAACGCAAACAACTGAAGTGGTACAAGTAGCACGTGAGGTTCTCCAAGAGCTTCACAACTGGATAAGTAGTCTTGAGCAAGCAAATACCCTATTTAACAACTCTTATCAGTTTCATTGTTAAGGTCATATTTTCGTGCGACTATTAATTTTTCACTTGAGGAGGCAGGGAGCTATACTATGTAATCGTAAAGAACAGGAAGATATATACTGTGTAACTAGATATAAGCGGAACGCCTTTTAAATTCATCCTCAACGTACGTCGAATCGGGCGTTCAAGAACCGGGCGCGTTGTACGAACGATAGATGAGCCAAAAGATGAATACGTAAAAGGCTGTCCTTTCACTGCGAAAGGACTCCGTTAGGTCAATTAGCGGGGCAAAGAAAAATACGAATTACGTTGCCTAAATCAAGGATAAGTTATTAAGTGTTGATCTTGTCTTCTCCAGAAATACATACGGCAGCTTTGTGTGTGGCAATTTTGAAGTAAATGAGGTACCTTTGCGTAAAAGGAGTAGCATATATTTCTCTATTTGCGTACATCTTAGTATAAACTCCGTGGTCAAACAATGGGCATGTAAAAATATGTTTTCCGAACCGAATGCGCCATGATGCTATCAGTCATTGAAATAATAGAGGGATATTTGCGAGCGAAATTTAGTTTCCTTTTCATACGAGAATCTGCATTGTAATGGTGGTCTCGGCACTAATAGCCAAGAGGTGATTTAACGATGAGCTTATTTATTTCGACAAAACGATCTTTAAGAAGGCCACTTGTAAACTCAGCGACCCGAGAAGCCTGCTGTCAAACTCGACACGGTTAAACACGGCCGAAGCCAGCTACCATCCTGGAGGAGCTCGTCTGCCTTCGTTTTATTATGAAGACAGCAGGTACTTTCAAATCTAAGCATTCTCGTAGTTATAACGATGACAAGTCGTATGAAGAACGTAAATTAAGTGCTGCTAATGCGCTTTATCTCAGTAGCCGTGAAGTTATGTTTCTCTTATCATATTATAGTGTTTGTTAAATCTATCACGTAATAAGATTAGAATCTAATACCATATTGTTAGAGAACATTAGTAGCATAATGGCTCATTATGACCGTAGAAAATATAGGTTTAATGAATGTACAGTAAACGTTCAGCGTTTCTTAAGCTTCAGTCGATTTGTAGCAGAAAAAACCGGTTGACTATTTATCATTTATTGCATTTTATATGTCGCTGTCTTACCCTCGCGTTGAAGCCATCTCACTATTTTTGTCAGCTTCATCATCCTTCACGTCACTTCAAAGGGTTCACGAGAACAGCGCTTGTTTTTAAGCTAGGCCCATGTAGCCATGTTTAATAGCTAACTATAGACAAAGTAAGCTCTCACAACGGGCCGCCATTAGCTTGAGCGCGCTTGAGTTGCAAAACAATTTGAGCTCTGTTCTTCTTCTCCACAATTCCACGCAGAAGATCTATATAATCCTATACAGCGAATGATGACTTGCGGATGTTTGTTTATTACCACATGCAGGAACGATAGCTAATTAGATATAACGTAGTTAAGATGTTTAGATTGATGTTGACCGCAGATCTTTTGTCGGGTTTATCGAGCATATACCTGTGTCAATCATACTGATTCGTATCCATACAATTATTTATAGTATTTTAGTAAACAAAGAAAGGGCGGTATATCACCACGCGAAGACTATTTACCAACTACATGGGTTCTACCGAATTTAGCGTATATCCACTATGAGCTACGAGTAGCATCTAACAGCTGATGTGAACCACTTGTTTTTGGCCTTGGAAAAATTTACAGTTGGCGAACTTGGGAGAAGTCGTTCGAATACTTACCCTACCAACAAAAAAAAAAAAACAAAAAATTTACATATAGCTTCGAATTTCCTTGCTAGCCGTGCGGCCCGTCGCCAATGAAGAGCAAAACGTATGAAGCAAGTGTAATACAGAAGCGTTGAAGAAATATAGCAGTCTGCAAAGAAAAAATGATAGAGTGCTGACTGCTCCGCGTAATGCATCAAGTGTTTGGCAGAGCGAAACTCGTTCAAAAACAAATGTATGCTCATCATGGGGGAAAAGAAACAATCAAAAAAAGTTATTCAGAAAATAACATTTTCTTGCGAAAAACTATGCTATCCTCATGGCCCGACCAAAGTGAGCATATGCTTTTATTAGGCCGTGGTATCTTAATATCTGGCCCATTCTTCACTATATTAAGTGACTGCATGCGAAATAAATATGAGAAGGCGTGTGGCTTCGCAAAGCAGAACTTCAGTAGTAGTGAAGTACATATTGCTTACTATGTGATAACTCACATGTGCGGCCGTACGTATCTAATGGAGTATTCCATTCTGTTTGGTTAAACGCTTCCTAATGAAATAGCATAGTAATGGCGTATTTATAGCATTTTTTCACACCTACACAAAAGTAAAGTCCGAATAAAAAACAAGCATTTATAATATGGGCGTTGTTTGTTTAGATACGAAAAAAAAATATTGAAAAAAGAACGTAACGATTTGTTTCATCCATTATCATTTTCAAACACGTATTATTGTTTTCGTTGAACAATAACTAGGTCAGTAAATAAGTCCCCAATAGCATCCCATTTATTGTTGCGCTGACTTTTATATAGATGTTGAATAGAGACTATTATTTTTTGCAGAGATGTTTTCCATCTCAAGTTTCTCATCCCGCAGGATAAGGGCCTTAGCAAGCGACCTTCTCCCTTCGTCACGTCTAGATTTTGCTTGTATTTTTTTTAAAAGAAACACACTTAGTTGCCTGATTTCGGTCAACGTGAACGCGCCAGCCGTAGGTGACAGTTATTCGCGTTATACTTTTTGCCCTGAGAAGGGGACTTTCCTTCGTACCGGTTGGTTCTCACTAAATGTAATGGATAGAAATCCTTTTATCTACAATCACGCCCATTTTCGCTAACGGTACCTACAATTTCCCTCATAGGAACGCTCGTTGCCGTCATCGTTACCACGAGCACCATCACCGACCGTTTGTTTCGTAAAAGCTTTCCTTTGTTTTATTCCGTTGAAATTTTCTTGATCGCATGAACAAGTCATATAAACCAGTAGGTGAACTATAGATACGCCGTCAACAACGAATTCGATTAGCGGCGAATGGGCAATCGTTCGCGCCCCTCAGACCTTTGTCGATGCATTCCGTAGTAATGCTTAGAGAGCCTTGGACGAGTTTCGGGCGGTGGGTGAGAATTTCACGTTTTGAAAAGCCGCGGGTAAATTTCGACGTCTGCTCCTATAATTCATACCGCACGAACTGTGTACATACCACAATGTAGTGTTCTAGTATGAATAGCGTTACGCATCATGCAACAACTTGTTTTTAAACTAACAAAGCATCTTCAAAGCTGAATGGAAAGAAGTCTACACAGAGAAACATTTGAAGAAAAGCATAATTTTAAGTTGATCGATGGACGTATCTCAACAATTTCGAGGTCATACAGAGACAGTCTTACCTTTTCTGTTTTGCTTGCCAGTGCAAGTAAATCCTGCCGTCGTCATTACAAAGGCTACAACGGATCTGGAGAAAAAATGACCGTTCGGCGCGTCATGCTTCGTAGACAAAATCCACACTTCACTTTTCCAAAGTATTCGCCTAGTTGAGGTGAGGTTTTGACTAGATCGTGCTTTCTGTAAGCGGCTTATATGATTTCCCGACACCACACTTCAATATTCTAAACCTATATGACCGTAGGTCAAATCTATCATTAAATTTCAATGGAATAAGATAAGAACATTATCTAGACCTATAATTTGAAAATCGACACGTCATAGACATTACAAAATGCTTTATATATATATATATATGCTCCTATAATTCATATCGCATATATATATATATATATATATATATATATAGTATACTATGTTTAATACGATAGCCCAAAAAGTTCACTTTCGCACTTGTCCTTTCTCACCATAGATCAACGAACCGGATGGCAACGACCAGCAAAACTGTTGGAGGATTTCTAGGCCGTCTTAAATTCTCGGTGCGTCTTGCTTCGCTTCTGTTTCCTACGCCGTTGGAAGTTTTTTCTTGCTTGTTCCTCCCGCACACCCCTATCTTTTTAATTTCGTTATCCCTTCTATTTAGTTGACGCCTTCCTTGTTTCGGTATCGTCTCCTACTGCCTGCTGCCGTTTGTTGCCGTCGGCGTCGTTCGTAGACGCCCGCAGCAGAGAAAGAGGCAGAAGCCTTTGGAGTTCTTTCGTGTCGTGTTCTTTTCTTTCCCTCAGTCTCTCTCTGTTTTTCCACCTCTCGTTGGCATCGTCGTAACGATTACAAATGAAGGATCGTTCTTTCGCTCATTGTCGTCGACAAGGACGGGAACGACATCGTCATGGTTGATTTTTGTGTACGGCACGCCGTGGCGTTGAGTGGAACGGTCGTTTCGCTTCACGTCGTTGCCGCCACTACGGCCGCTAGCAATAGCAGGGCCGCAGACGGCTACAGCCTGCCGACTATACTTCGTTGCAGACTTGACATTTCTATGCGATGAGCTATGACCGTGAGACCACGCTTTCCCAGGCTTATTCTTCGCGAAAAGACCCGATTCGCCGCTTCGGTTGCCTCATTTTATGGAAGGGACCTGAACAGCGAGCTGCCTGTTCGTCAGGCCGATTCTGCGTCCTGATCTTCCTTCACTCTTGAACTGCCTTGTCGTGAGGGCAGTCTGGTCTGCTGGTATAACTCTGGTGGCCTGAATAGTAGGGGTACGATAAAATGCGTCTTCTGGGTATTTCGGATAGGCGTTGGAAATGAGGCGAGGGGTGCGGGTAATTCGAAAGAGGGGCTGTATAAGACAGACAGAGACACAGAGAGAGGAAAGAAGATATGAAAAAGCGCGCAAAAGAAAAAATTGAGGAGTCAGCTGGCGGCAATCGAGGCGGTGGTGCTCGAGTTACTACGTAGCTGTAATATATATATATATATATATATATATATATATATATATATTTCCACTCAAAATCTCTATAACACTTAAGCGGCCAGCAAATCTCTTTCGAAAACGAAATAGAAGGGGATAGAGGACGATATCGAGCGGAGAGAACCGAGAGATGGATGATAAGAAACTATAAAAATGTGCCGGCCGCAACGAAGCGAGTAACCTGTATTGGAATTAATATGAACGAGGGTTAGAAACCTTAATTGCCGTTCGTTTTTGCTTTGTAGTGGATCGGTTCCCGATCAATTGATTATATGGTTATTGCACTGCTCACGGTACTATTGTCCTCTCAACTGGATCCGGTTCAACGGTTGTTTAGCGCTAGACGCATATATGAAACAAGCAGAGTTCGTATGGCTGCTGTAATAAGTAGACAACGGATTGCTGACAGAATGCTAGCCTTGTAGGAATCTATGAGATGTCTATGTAGTACTCTAATTCTCCTTTATTGCAAAGAACATTTCGTGACATATTGTGAAGTATGTCCTGAAATATCACCAATATTACTGAGATACGAGTCGGAAATCCAAAATTTAATCGAAATAATGCCGATAGTACTAAGCTTGAATATTACTGAACGTTATTCCCATAAATAATTTTCAGGCAAAATACATTCAATTGGTTTTTCCTGGAAGTCCAGTGGTGCGCTTTAGAGGAGTCTGTTTTCTGCAAAACTAACAGCAGTCCCTGCAATCCTTCTTCGCGCTTATGCCAGTAAAGACGATATACCTTTCCAGATGTCGAATAGTTTTTTATTTATATAGTACTCATAATTTACTTAATTAAATGTTTGATTTATTAGGCAACACGTTTCATGCCTATGAGCTTATAATCCGCGTTACTGTACTGATTGAGTACATTTAAAAACATAACATAATAACAGTAAGCAAAACATAATAATAGTATGGAGATAATAAGAGCAACTGGTAAATATTCCTGTGTTATTTGTTTTTTTATATAGAATCAAGTTATTTGAAACTTGTAACATGAATTCAAAGAGTCTACACATTCAATTTTTTATATTCATTAAATTTTTTTTCACTCGAATACTATTTCTATTTATTTAGAACGTCTATTCGGTAACTTCTTGATTGAAATCATCGTCTGGTCGCCTTGTCCTAACAGTACCTTTATTCCACTTAACGCTGTCTTCGAAAATCTCTAAAAAGAATCTCATTAGTTTAAAAAAAAGCACGGATTATAACAGACCATTCATATGAGATATATGATAAAACGTGTTCCTTGTGACCTACAATAAACCTATATAAAAAACAGTAAGGAGATCTAACTTGCAAGATTAATAAGTTATGAGTATGTTAGTCGAGTATAAAAGTCCGTTTGGTGTTAGTGAAAATTAGAGCTGTCAATAAAAGTATGATAGAGCACTTTTTCATACAGCTCTAAAAAAAAAATACAAAATTGGTCTATAAGTGAATCCTGAGTACGACAGGCGCGCATGTATATACTGATTTAAAATGTGTAGCATATCGTTACCAAATTTTTCATTCAGAAACTGCCGTAAATATGGTTCCTGCAAAGAACCGATTGTTATCATGTTTGTTTTCTTTTTGCAAAAGGTATACAACACGGTAACAAGCATTTCAACGTACTTGGTTCTGTGCTAGAACACCGTGTTATGAAATATGGGTCCGTTTCTAACATGCAAGATAAAACTAACGTTGTGTTACCAATATCTGAGCTTAGAGACTGCAACAAGGGATCGAGTTCGTAGTCTCTCCCTGCATATATTTGGTAAATGCAGACCATTGCATTTGTATTCTATCTATGCAAATTTTATAAAGTACCTGGAAGAAGTAAGTGCTTTCGAAGGACTACTACTAAGTAGTTTCAGATTAAGAGTACGTGTATGTGCATACATTTCGGATGAAATAAAAAAAATTTGTTTTTACACTCCCTGTACGATATGTCCATTTACGCCATATGATAAAAGCGTATTTGCCAAATATACTGATATGCATTTCCTTCTCTGCCGTAGTACCGGTTGCTTTCAGCGGTAGCGTTAAGTAAGTTCTGACTCATACGACCCTACCTTCCCTCATTTTTTGAAATACATACATGCAGATATAATTGCATACTTAACTCTGTGTTCTTTAAGCTATTTAGACTGGAAAAATGCTCATTCCACGTCAATATATAGCTCAAATGGAAGCCTATATGTCTTAAAGAAAGTGTTAACTTAAGTCAAACATCGATCCTGCTGTCGAAACACATTAATAGGCACATAAACATAAACTTGTTTTGCAAACGCACAAGGGCCTGGCTCGATATGGTTTTTGTCTCCATGGCGTTACCCTGTGATGACAGCCAAAGCACTTGCAGTACAGCATTTACAAGGCTTCTAGTACAGACGATGACGGCAGCAACTATGGCAGTTACCGAATACATTTAACTAACTTTGTTTATAATAATATACATATAATAAATAAAAATGAATTTTATGAACTATAATGCTTACGTCAAGAGAGAAGTGCAAGTACCTCACAGGACCTGCGTGTTTTGGCATCATCAACAGGAGCAGCAATCATAATAATAACAGAGAAAGAGAGAAATCCGGGAAAAAGAAGAATTGATCCAGAAGCGGTTAAGGCCAATGTCGCATTGTAATAGTGACGTGCGCGATTTGGCAGTTGATCAGGGGCAACAGACGCTTGGAATAGTGCTGTTACATGTTTTCCAAAACATTTATTGTCGTCCGATAAGTACTGTCGCAGCTGCGTGCTGGCGTCATGAGCGTTTACCGCTTCAAAACTGACCGGCGGAGCCAATTGAAGTAGTTCTGGTTTTTTTTTTTTGCAACCTCTGGATTAACAACAAAAATATGATGCCTCTACCATGCCCGTTGATTGGCCCAGTAAGCAAAACTCTACTAACGCTCGCCAGCTTAAGGGATTTTCAAAGGAAATGAAAAAACGGTAAAGCTCTGCGTAACCTGATAGGAAAAGTTTGAGGCTCGTGGGGGGCAGAATTCTGTCACTTCTATTTATTTGTAGAAGTACTTTCGAAGGTGGATGGTAGAAAAACGCTTGCTTGCTCGTAACCCGCCGTCCAAGTCGGGGACGTTTACGTTGGTACCACACATTCCTTCTCCAGACCCCAACAAAATCTTTGTGTACTTCTCACCCGATCCACTTGAAACCTCTCAACTCGGAGCGACGAGCCCCTGCTGGGTTAACAGAGAGGACAGGGAGCGTCTCTAGCCATTGGCCTTATTTTGTCCTCTACGACGTTCAGCTTATACGGCTCGATGGCTGCACCGCTTATCGAATGCTGGAGCTCTACTATTATGTGTGGCTTCTAGGCTTTGATGGCTTGCGAGCACCGGGGGCGCTATCATCCTCATCGCCTGTCATGACGCTACCACTATTTCGAGGCTGAGTAAACAAATGACAAATACAATCGATGGCGTCCAGTAAGCGTAGAATAAGAAACACGCTTTTGTTGCAGTTAAGCTGTAGTGAGCAACCTAAGCAAACAGGCAGATGGCAAGTTGAAATGCATCCAGCCTGCCGGGCTGATGTTATGCTCCTTAGAACCAGCTGCTAGCATTCATTCGCTGAGGCGGGTTTTCGAACAGCTTTACTTGGTTCCTTACTTGGCTCTTTACCCCAATCTTCGCTCCACAAAGCGACACCTAACTCATCTGCGCTGTTCGGGCTATTCCTTTCGATAGTAATATACAACTATAATACAAACTGCTACTGCTACTCCTCCTACGCAGCTTGCTGGCGTATTTCGGTTGCTGAATATCGTTGGGGAGGTTGAACTTCCTGCGTTTGACTTTCACATACGGAAAGCGGCAGATCCGACACAATGGCAGGCTTGCAAAGAGCGAGATCTACTTGGTTCGTAGTATGCCTCAGTCGAGAGGTATGTACGGAACAGCATGTGCGTTTTTGGAATACCTCTCGCTGCCGCTGCTGGCAGTAGCCCCACAGGCAGCACTTGCACCATTACTGCAGCCGGTTTCGCTCTGGAACACCCACGCCATTGCTACGATGCACCATGAAAAGTAATCTGCTAGGCCTTTAGCAGGCAGAAGGACTCGGCCTGTATCGCCGAAGACTTGCATGACTTCTATACTACCGATCCCTCTCCGACCCGTGCCGTCTGAAGCAGGGGCCGGAAGCGCACCAGATTCTGGGTAACTCAGCTGAGCTGAACGAACGCATATTCGCATGGTATGAGGTTACAGAACGGAAATGTTGGCTAGTGGCTTTTGACCATGAAGCATATGCCGTGTGTAGTATTGGCTGGCTGGCTGGATGGCCGCGCACTTTCCTACAGGTGACGAAAATAACCCAAATTGCATCAGCTGAATGTAAAATGTCTGGTTGTTTCTGTTTCGCTTATGGCCACATTTGTATACGCTCGACAATGGCAACAATGACGTATGTCTATCGCTGCAATGTATGCAGCTTGTTTTTCTTG